ACTTCTGTAAAGCCTTTGATTCAGTGGTACACGACAATCTATTCCTAAAACTAAAATCTTATGGTATCTCTGGACAACTGCATAACTGGATAGAAGCATTCCTGTCAAACAGACAACAAATGGTCAAAATTGGGAGTGTCCTATCAAATTCTGTACCTGTCAATAGTGGTGTCCCCCAAGGCAGTGTTCTAGGACCAACTCTCTTCATACTCTACATAAATGACCTCTGTGATCGTATTAAGAGCAACTGCGTTCTTTTCGCTGCTGATGTAAAGCTGTTCAATACCACAGACAATACTGCTACTCTTCAAAAAGATCTTGACTATGTATCAGAATGGTCAAACAAATGGCAACTTCAAATCTCAACAAATAAATGCTCTGTCTTACATATTGGCAAAAAACATCAGAAAATAAAATACAAGCTGAATAGTCAAGACCTTGTTGATGATCCAAGCTCTGTAAAGGACCTTGGAATACTCATCTCTAATGATCTAAGTGCTAGAGTCCACTGTAACTACATAGCCAAAAAGGCATTAAGAGTTGTTAACCTAATCCTACGTAGCTTTTTCTCTGGTAATATCACACTACTAACTAGAGCATACAAAACATTTTCTAGACCAATACTCGAATGCAGCTCATCAGTCTGGAACCCGCATTACGTATCTGATATTAGCACAGTTGAGAAAGTCCAGAAATATTTCACAAGAAGAGTTCTCCACTCCTCTACTTGTTGTAGAATACCTTATGCCACCAGACTTGAAATCCTAGACCTAGAAAATCTTGAATTACACCGTCTTCGATCTGATCTAAGTATGGTATATAAAATCATACATTGCAATGACTTACCTGTCAATGAATACTTCAGCTTCAACCATAACAACACAAGAGCACACAATAGATACAAACTCAAGGTTAGCCGCACCAAACTTGATTGCAGGAAATACGACTTCAGCAACAGAGTGGTCAATGTCTGGAATACTCTACCTGACTCTGTGGTTTCTTCCCCAAACCCCAAAACCTTTAACCTTAGACTGTCTACTATTGACCTCACCCCTTTCCTAAGAAGTCTGTAGGGGGCGTGCATAAGTGCACCAACGTGCCTACCGTCCCTGTCCTATTGTTTCTTTTATTTTTCTTATATGTACCCATTTCATGTATTCATAACTATGTATATACTTATACCTATTATCTTGTAAGCGATTGACAAATCAAATAAATAAAATAACAATAAATAAATTCCTCATGTTTACATGATAAAACGGACCTTTGTGCTTTTTTTACTCAGAAACTAAGTACCCTTTCCATCACATCATGTCACAGGGAGAACAACATTCCTTCACTGTTGTTTTGGGATTGCCATTTCTAATGTCACATTTATTCTTTTCTTATTTTATTTTGTTATTATTATATTTCAAACATGGCCAGATTGTTCGGTGTATAGTACTGATAATTCAGTGCATCCTGTCCTGCTTATTCCTAAAGTGGCATGCAGCCTTTTGTTTACTTGAAGCCCTGAAAGTGAGCTGTGCCAGCTGCCATAATCTCCAATGATGGTAGTCACTATGGTTGGAGCATTAAAGGGCATCAGCTTCAAGAAATACAGGCTGAATAGTCAAGACCTTGTGGATGATCCAAACTCTGTCAAGGATCTTGGAGTACTCATCTCTAATGATCTAAATGCTAGAGCCCACTGTAACTACATAGCCAAAAAGGCATTAAGAGTTATTAACCTAATCTTACATAGCTTTTTCTCTGAAATATTACACTACTAACTAGAGCATACAAAACATTTGCTAGACCAATACTCGAGTACAGCTCATCAGTCTGGAACCCACATTACGTATCTGATATTAACACAGTTGAGAAAGTCCACAAATATTTCACAAGAAGAGTTCTCCACTCCTCTACTTGTTGCAGAATACCTAATGCCACCAGACTTGAAATTCTAGACCTAGAAAAAATAGAACTACACCCCCTTCGGTTCGATCTAAGTATAGTATATAAAATCATACATTGCAATGTCCTACCTGTCAATGAATACTGCAGCTTCAACCATAACAATACAAGAGCAAACAGTAGATACAAACTCAAAGTTAATCACACCAAACTTGATTGCAGGAAATACGACTTCAGCAACAGAGTGGTCAATGTCTGGAATACTCTACCTGACTCTGCTGTTTCTTCCCCAAACCCCAAAAACTTTAACCTTAGACTTTCTACTATTGACCTCACCCCTTTCCTAAGAGGTCTGCCTACTGTCCCTGTCCTATTGTTGTTGTTTTTTCTTATATGTATCCATCTATTCATAACTATGTTTTTACTTATACCTATTATCTTGTAAGCAAATAAAATAAAAATAAATAAATAAATAAAGAAGGTGACCACATAACATTGTGTCCTGAAGTTCCTAAGTTCACCCTCCATATTCTCTTGTTAAATATACAGCATAATTGATATGAGTTAAAATTTGATTTTATCAGGAAAGATTAGATGGAGCTAGATATGCTTTGACATAAGGCAATGTTTGCTAAATTAAAGGTTAAATAGGCCAATGACTGCACAATTTAAAATTTTGTATAGTTTCCATATGTTACTTGGTTAGCTGTTTTTAATGGTTGTGTTTGCTGTTTATTTGATAAACTCTTGTGATTAATAGCTGGCAAATACATCTAGATTACAAACAAAAGCCCAAATCCCAAATTCCCAAAATTATTCCTTGTTTAGTTCAATTTTCCTGAATTGAATATGTCTCATATTGTTGTCATTATATGTCAAAGATATCCCCTTACACTCATATTCATATGTAGTCTGTTGCATAATATATTTTATTTTTTTGCCATGCTTATTCTTTTTTTCCTTTAGTAAAAACATATTTAATAAATAATAGAGGGAAAATAATTGAATACATGTAGACTCTTAACTATCCACCCAGCAAAATTGGATGCTAGTTTATTCAGATTTAATGCAGTACAATGCTTAATTACTTTGATAGCCTTAATTTCCGCCAATGGTGGATATTATCCTATTTTTAGAGTAATTTAATCTGTGTTCTCTCAGTCATGAAGTCTTATAAGGTGGTATGTAGGAGGCGGAGAACTCTGGAATTAAATCACTGCATGCATCAGAAACACAGTGATTTCAACGTTTCAGACAGTTTTTGAATTAATTAAGGATGAAACTGGCTTTAGAAACAAATGCTGTCCTTCTGAAGAACTATGGAATGCACATATTGATAGTTGAAGTTCTCAATAAATACTTTCTCTTTTCCTCTGTTCCCATAGTAAATATAGGGAGTCCTTGTGGATTTTTTTACTCCACTAGTCATTGCTGACTATAGGGAGTGGTACTCATCTCTGTTTCAAGGCCATTGAGCCAGTACTGTCCAAAGACATTTCCGTGGTCATGTAACCAGCATGAAATCACTGAGCATTGTTACCTTCCCATAAAAGTGTTACCTATTTATCTACTTGCATTTGTATGCTTTCGAACGGTTAGGTTGACAGGAGCTAGGATGAGGATGGGAGCTCATCCCATCATGTAGAGCTCAGGTCTTGAACCTTGGCTGCCAGCTTTCCAGCCAACAATCCTAGCATCTTAACCGCTGAGCCACCACGGTGCCCCTATTCCCATAGAGGAACTACTATAATTTCAATAGAAATTGGTCATGTTTTTGCTTGCTGAAAATAGTTTGATGGGATGAGGGTAGAACCAATATATTTCCTGAAAAACATTACAGCAAACAAGCTGCTACCAATTTCTTCACTTCTTCTGATTCCTGTTTGCTGTATTCTAAATGTGCCAAGTAGTCTGTTTTGTTCTCTGAGAGATCTAGAATAAACTAGGCTATATTCTACTGTTAAATACTTAGTTCTTCCTCAATAATTAAAGTTTGAGGTTTTATTGTCATTATTTGATGCATTTGAAATTCCATGAGAACTTTAGGTGATTCAGTTTCTTAAATTTGAAAAGGAATAAAATAAATAATGTCTGGAATACTCTACCCGACTCTGTAGTCTCTTCCCCAAACCCCAAAAACTTTAACCTTAGACTGTCTACTATTGACCTCACCCCTTTCCTAAGAGGTCTGTAGGGGGCGTGCATAAGCGCACCAACGTGCCTACCGTCCCTGTCCTATTGTTTCTCTTATTCTTTTATTTTTCTTATATGTACCCATTTCATGTATTCACAACTATGTATACACTTATACTTATTATCTTGTAAACAATTGGCAAATCAAATCAAATCAATCAATCAATCAATCAATAAATCAATAAATAAATAAATAAATCAATAAATAAATAAATAAAATAATGTTGAAAAATTTTAATTCTGTATGAACTGACAGAGATTGGTTCAGGATTTTACATTTCTTTTCACCTCATGTCTCAAAATAACATTGAATCAGAGACATTTCTGCTTTTGGAAAACAAGAAAAGAAAGAGGTTTAGCATCTTTTTCAAAATTAAACTCCACTACATTTTCAGATGGTTGGTTTGGATCACATAAATTAGAAGTGACTTGTTGCAGCTAAGTGAATGTAACGGGAGAAGGCATATTCATGACTTCATATGTGAACTTTTTCCCCCTCCCTCTGGACACCCCGCTTGAAAACTGATAAGTCTGCACATGCGCTTGAGGTTTGGAATGTCCATTGCCTAAGATGACAGGTTGGCAATTAGTAAGTAACTTATATCTCTGTTTTCCAGCATACCTGACATAGAAATTCTGTCATGAGACATGCTGAACTTGGGTTCAGGTAGAAGTCTTACAGCCTCCTTCTAAAAGTTCCTTTCCCTTCTTTTTAGATGTCAAAATATAGGTGAATATTATTAAGCTTCTCACTCATTTTTGGGTGGATTTTTAATTTGGTTTGGAGAAGAATTTCCAGATTTTTCTACTGCTGTTCCCACCAGACCCCTTCTCCCTCATTCACTTTCTTATAGGAGAAATTATAAGAATAATTTTGAAGTGTGATGAGATTTCTGCATCTCTTGTTACAGGAAAATTGTTCCATATGGGTTGGCTAATTACAGGGGAAATTTCCGTGTCAAAAGGTCTACAGAACAGCTCCACAAGAGCTTGCATTCATCAGAAAGATCTCCATCACGTTGTTCTTGCACAGATCGACGTGACAAGTTGTGCCTGCAGTTTTGCACATGGAGTGTCCAATGGTAAGATACCTTGATATTTCAAAGAAATAACACATGGCTTAGGAAAATGAAAAGAGATTTCCACCTTTCGCCCCTTAATATTAGAAACCTAATTAAATAATTAAGAAACAAATGGATGTTTTCAAATACTACGTGAGAGATTGAGGCTTTTTATTTCATCATTTTTTATATTGAGAAAGATATCACGGTGATATACAAAACTAGATAATGTAGCCACCCAACTCACACTAACTTCACTGTGGTAAAAATGCCACCCAAATATATGTAAGAGCATCTGTTAAACACTGGAAAACATGGAAAGGTATACCCTTTCCCTTTAAACCACAGGTCTTTATTCATATAGATCCAGTTACATCAGAAATATTTTTCTAATGCAGAAATTATTCAGAATTATTCAGTTGCAATGTTTGTCTGAATACAGTACCTTCCCATCTATTTAGGAATGGAACACAGATGATTGGCACAGCTTGTGTGATCATGAAAATTCCCATACATGCTACAGCTGCATGGCATAGCATCATGGAAGGAGCTCCCACATGAATGAATGTCCACATAGGAAGGGCTTAGGTGGATTTTAAATGCTGAGACAGATTTGTGAACAATTATCTATTGATGTGTGTGGTTTCTTTGGAAGCTGAAGTTGGAAGACTCAGTTTAAATTAATGACATTGATTTAATTTGAAAATGCAATATAACATGTATATTCCTGTGTAAAAATACACTGACTTTTCAAATTGATTGGAAGAGATAGATTAATTGTCTGAAAGGCTGCTTCAAGCAAATCAAAGTTTTGAATTAAAGTTTCACCCATCCCTATTATTGGCTTTGAGAGTTATTTGGAACCTTTTTTTTTGGTTAAGAAGATACTAAGTAAACAGTAAAGTTGAAGGTATAGTGTGAGCTTTTCAAAGTATCTGGCTGGTACTGCTGAAAGTGGACAGAGGAAGTAGCTCATCTTGATCTGATTTAATGTAGAAACTTTGATATTCTTAAAGGTTTTTTCATTAGTGAAAGTTTTGGCATTGTTGGATAGCTCTGATCAACTTAACCCATGTAGATTCTTCTTTATTCTCCAATTTGAATATTTCTTTTTTGGAAACTTGTTTTTAAGAGCAACAAACAGATTCTTAAAATTATTTAGGTTTGTACACAAAATTGTTGGAACCTTGAGATTTTTCTTTCTATTACAAGTTGCTCTGAGCAGTCAGTCTGCAGTAGTTTTGCTCTGCTGCTTTTATCCACTATTGGAAAGTACCGTAGCTTATGTAGAAAATGCCTTGAAAGGTGAGGTAAACGTAAGAAGGGAGGCAGAAAAATAAAAGAATCAAATCTGGCCAAATCCAAAGAGAAGATCAAAACCCAGCTGCTGTATATATTTTAATTATCTATCTATCTATCTATCTATCTATCTATCTATCTATCTATCTATCTATC